TTGTGACTCGTGGCCAGTCGGCTCACCGATAAGTAAGGTCGTTGCGTTTTATGGAGTTCGCGCTCATAAGTGTAACGGTGTAACGAACGCGCGATCCTCGACACAGAGATTACCGTTGCGCGGTCCACAAACTCCTCGAGTCGAATAATATGTACGCGCTACGTAAGTACTTGCGCGAGTACATTAATTCCCCCTTTACTTGTCTTTACATTCCTAATATCATTCACTGGTTTACGACCCGGCTGTTCCATCTTTGTACCATAAAAACTATGTGTAAAATGAAGGTAGTTAAATCGAATCGTGACGTCCGATTGTCCGACGTGTTCTGGGTTAGAAGTTAAAACCGGAACAAGCGTTAACGATGCTACGCGATGGTAGGAAAATTAGGAAGCGGAGTAGGTCAAGAGGATTTTTAGAGTAGTGGAGCGCCGGTGCGTGAAGAACTTCGGGAACCGGATCTCCCGGGACCGGTAGAACCGTTTTGTTAAAAGTCACGAGCGAGGGTGGAACAGCGGAACTTTTAAATGGAGTATTCCATTTGACATATACTCCAAATCATGGATTCGACGGAAATCGTAGATTTAATATTCCAAAAGAAGGGCAGGAACTTATTTAACTAAATCGAGAGGCAAAAGGTGAAGGAATCGGCTCGTCCGAACCGCGACCGGCTTCTTCGTACCGTTAATCGTTAATCCCTAATCGATCGATTCCGCTTCTAAACGAGAATCTAGGACAATTCCGCGTCCTTTCCTTTGGAACTCGGTTCGTTCGAGGTCGTATTCGAGATCGTAGACTCGATATAATGTCCCCAATTAATTAGGAAATTAGGAATCGTATCGATCGATCGACCTCCTTCGCGATGCACGCTGCTCCTTGTTAACTTAATTTACTAGCGATCGAAATCGATCCGGTTTCAAGGCAAAACGCATGATAGACTTTGGTCTTTCGACTTTTTTGGTCTTTCGACTTAAGGTCCTTCGACTTTTATCATCGGATTCCACACGGAAATTGCGTAATCGAGGAAACCGGCCGACCGATAGCAGCGGTCGAATCGTTGAACGCTGAACGAAGCGAATCGAACAGATGCGCGGGCGCGTATCTGTACGCAATTGCCCAGGAAGTAGCTTTAAAACGTGCTAAGTGTTCGATAATGAGCTCCCGTCTTTCTCCATTCCATCTTCTCTTCTCGTTCTCGTCGAGTTCGTTCGCCTTTACGCGTCTTCGCTATCGCGTTCGAGCATTCGCGTCGATAACTTTCTTCGTAGCGACATCGATTTTCTGACCGTCGCAATTAATGTATTCGTTCTAGGGGTTGCTGCTACGCATTCCTGAACCGCCGATAGACATTCATCCAACGATTCTATTGTTTTTATGTCTGTAATTGATTCATGGGATCTGACGTTGGGAACATTTTTCTGATTACCGTACCTACTATCTTCATCTTCGTTCGCTTTAGGAAACTACCGCATTTTCCACGAACATCGTTTTCCTCTCCGATTAGCTTCCTTCCTTTCGCTTTCCTGGTGCAACGTCACGATCGCGTGGCTACTTACTGCTCAGAATATACGCGTACGCGTAGAATAGATCGCAGGTACCACGCTCGTGCAAATTACGAGTTAGAAATTGAGCGTTACTGATTGAGGGCGGAAGAGATAATAGGGTGGGGTAACAGCGAGGGCTCGAGGATATCGTTAGCCGTAATAAGACGTTTTAAATACTTTTTCGCGAGATGCTACGTACGCCTGTACGCGTCGGTAGCCGCAGCTGGTCGCCTTTCACGGATGCTACCGTATTCGAAATACGGGTCGGCTCGCCTACGTCTCCGGCGAGCACGAATAAATCGATGCGATTTACCGCGACCACGGTTGACCCACCAGTCTACCGTTCCACGCTCCGAGCTCCACGCGCAACCGCTCGCGAGACCGTGCTCGATGGTTCCGCGTTTCATTGTTCGCAAATGAGTATTCGTTTGTTCAACTCGTCTAACCACTCGCGTTCATTACGACATTCCGTGCGTGTCACTTATGAACGCGACATCCGTTATAGTTATACGGTTCGCATGGATCTGCCGTCGTACCGTGGCGAATCGTTTCGTCACTCCGCGTACCCATTACTAGTCGTTAGCATTGTCGGCGAGTCGTAATCTTGGTAAACGATTCGCTGTATCGAACCTAAAGCCTTTTGAACTCGGTTTTATCGAGCGCGATTCACTTCGGAGATCTCTTCCCTTAAATTTTCTCGCCGTGATTCTTCTCCGAGATAGGCCGAAAGCGAGAGAAAGAAACCGTCGTACAGGTATCTACTTCACGAAGAGGGACGCCACGCAGATTTATACGGAACCGAGTCTCGCGTTACGAGTCGAGATAAAACGCGTCTGACATTTTTCTCCGAGAGTTCGTGCGACGCGAGGCGAAGATGGCAGCTCGCGTTACGAGCAAACGTTAATTAACCGAAAAGATTCCGTGGGATAAAATTGTGAGGGGTGTACGTAGAGATAAGGGTGGATCTAGGTAGAACGTTTGAAGATGGAGAAGAAGAAGAAGGTGAAGAAGACGAAGAAAGCAAGGAAGAAGAAGAAGAAGAAGAAGAAGCAACAGCATTTGCGGAGTGTTGGTCAGGGCTTTCGAGGTCAACGGCCAAGCTGAGCCAGGCGGCGCCTGGAAGATCCTCGATCGCATCGCATCGGTTGAACGCGAGATAGTGGGGCAGGTCGCGGCTAACTGGTAGAAGGAAACGAACGAGAGAAACGAAGATGAAGCGGCGTACGAAGAAAGCATAGTAGTCGAACGATGGATGAAGCGGCACGTGAAAATCGTTTCGTTTCAAGTCTTCTCGCCTTCTATCTTCTTCCGTTTTCCCTCGATCGCTCTCTACACCCGTTCGATCTCCGAGTAACGCGTCGATCAAATCTTCTCTGACGTACGCGATTAACGCTCGGGGCTGTGCGCTTTCTATCCGACTGCATCGAAAGTGAATACGAGTTAGTTTTCGTTCTTTTCGAGTAGCGTCGGCAACTTGAAGACTCGCGGAGGCGAGGCGAGATAAAAACCGAGGGAAAGCGTAAAAGACGATGACGGAGACGATCGCGTTGATGCTGTTGCTGACGATAATGATGATGATGATGATGATGATGACGACGACGATGGTGGCTGGTGAACGCAAGAGAGAAGGAAGGAGACTCGTCACGGAGGTTGCTCACGAATCTCTTCGACTTGCCTTGGCATCGGCGGCTGAACGGGCCGAACCAACTCTATCCAATCCTATCCCAAGAACGTCGGCTGTTTTCTTCGAAGCGAAGCGATTCTCCGCGGATGCCACGCCGGGTCTTGGGGACACGAATTAGCGTTTTTTTGCGCGTCCGTTCACCGTAGAACGTGTTTAAATATAGCATCTTCGACCGGTCCACGTTGAACCTTTGGCGACGATGATGGAGCGATTTGTGAGAGCCGAGAAGTGGGTTTCGTCCATCACAACCTCGCGTGCAAATTGTTATATATCGCGACGTTGTGCACCGTGGAAATTCCGCTTACGCGTTATAGTACTCTTCGCGCGAGAACGAGTTTCTTCGCGGTAGCCAGCCCGCATATCGGCACAGTCTATTTTTCGCGCCTCGCGATTTTAATCGGCGGGCTTTCACGCGACGCGAGATGTGCGTGACACAGAAATAATTAACCGTGCGCGCGCGTTGCGTAATTAAATATGCGAACATGTTGGATGATTTAATGGTTGTTGAACTTCTCGCGCACGAACCGTAATGGGCGGACGTCGAGCGTTTTCTAATAACGTTTCCGGTCTGCACACGTGCTCCATCGGTTGCATTCGAGTTCGAATAGAATCCCTTTGTTCGCCTCGCTCTACCATTTATTTTTTGTCGACTTATCGAAGCAGTCAGTTAACGGAAGGAATTCGCGATAGGTAACGGTGAGTGATCTTCGAATCGACGACTCGTTTTCTGTTTCGAAGGTGGTGAGACTGCGGAGTAACCACGGCTATTAGAACCGCGCCCGTACCGAGTATCGGAAGGCGTTACGCTTCTCTGGCATTGAACTCACCGACTCGGTCGCGGGCTCCGAGTTTCGAGCCTCCTTTCGTTCACTGCCAGAGAACGCGCGCACCTGCTCCCCATGAATCCCGCCTATTTAGGTCGACTGGGAAAAACGTCATCGAACAGGTAACTTCTCCACGACGACGCGGAGCCTGCTTCGGCTTCCGGGAACACGATCGATGCGTCATCGCGGTGTCTACGAAATCCACGGTATCGCGGTTGAAACTCGTAACGCGTTTTTCGAAGGGTCGACGGACTCCCGTCTCGGCTGTCGGAACGTACCGGCATAAAATATTCGGCGGGCGTGCGACACGAAATTTAGTCGGTCGCGATTCGAGAGCGGGGAATAGGACTCGTTTTCGTTTTACATCGGTTGCCCGTTCGCTGTGTTTCTACGGAATTTACGGATGTCGTTCGATGACGGGGATAGCCCTGACATTGAACTCAACGCGAATGCAACGAAATCTCACCGCTGGCTGCGAGGAGTCTAATTTTCGTTTCGCTACTTTAGTTTTCGCGCGATCATGTCCTTTCATTTTGATACACCGCTTTTAGATTATCTTTTGACTTTTGATATCCGATGAGGAACGTTTTTTAGTTTAAAGAGTAATGGAGTATTCACGCTACGATTTCCATTTGTAAATCGTGACGATTTCTCGATAGCTACTGGCAACTAAACAGCCGGGGATTTGACCCACACTCTGGGTCACTCGTTTTTCAGAAGCCACTCCTGAGGCTCCAAGCTTTTCCCTATATCTTCGATTTCAGACTCTGACACTGGTCAGTCCGTGTTTAGCTGCTGAAAATTACGGGTCCTACGGGAATCGTCACGACATCTCGTCACGATTTACGGACGGAAGCCGTAGTGTGAATACTCCGTAAGTCCGAACGCTAGTCCCGTGGTGGATGCGATGGAACGCGCGATCAATCGCGGCTTTTCGAATTTCGGACGTACCTTGGTCGAAATTCCACTCGGTTTCTGCCTCGGTCCACCTCGATTCACCGGCTAGTCTCTGTAATCACTCGCCCGTTTAATCACTGTTTCCCGAAACTCCGCGAGAACCACGGAAGATAGGATCACGGATGAGAGGACCGAGAAACCTTCACCTAAATTTTGTATCACCGGTCCGATACCCCGCACTGAACACTGTTCTCTCTCTCTCTAACGGGTAAAAAAATGAAAACGATTAAAGAAACTAAAAGTACGCGTCCCGATCCGGCTGGGCTGTCGGCACGGCTCTGTCTTCGAGGCGGCGCGTCGGGCTCGCTTTATAAACGCAGCGGGTTGGGTGGTGGTCGCGTTTTGTTACCGGTTAAATCCTCGCGAGGATTGGTCGCGTTCGTGTAAAAGTACCACGGGATTGGCCGCGGGATCTAGCGGTACCGTCGCTTCTTCGCGGCTACGATGTTTCCATGTGCGTCTCTCTCTCTTTCTTCCTTCCTCTGCACCCATCCATCTCGCCTACTGCTCCTCTCTTTCCTTCTCTCCGGGCTCGCGCGCCACCAGGCTAAATAGTCGCTTCGCGTAATTAGGGAACAGTGACATTTTACCGTTTTTTCCTCCTCTCCCTCCGACTTTTCTCGTCTTTGCGCTCCGCTCGGATCGGATCATCCCTCGCGACGACCTAAGCGTTCGATCGCGTTCCGCACTCTGTGCGGTTACTGTAATCTGATAAATCGAATGGTCATTTATATCGAATTTGCTCATTCTAATGTAAGGCGGATATTTTCCCCAAGTCTGCATGTGTCTAACACCAAGAATATCATTATTACCCTATTCTCCAAATGAATTACTCTTCACTGTCTACTCCACCTACAATAGTGTTATATCACTCTCGTTTATTACTATTTTTTTATTGATACATTTTATATGTATTTTATATTTTATATAATTTCATTCATATTATTTTTATATTTTATATTTAATTTTCACTTTGCATCGTTTTTCTATAGAGACCCATATGAAAATGATTAAATAAATAAGGTGCGAACTTATCGGATACTTAACGAGTTTCTTGTTTCGGATGATCGATAACGACGAGCCGCTTAGGTGCTCCGTAAACTATCCAGACATCTTCGTATCTCGTCGCGGATTCCGCGATTTACGTTGGAGAACGAGACGAAATTAGAAGAATAAAAAAGGCTCGTCGAACGACGATCGAATCAGACGAGGCCATTCTGATTTATAATACGACGCGAGGAGCATGTAGCGTATCTGGTTCACCGGAACGGAGTCTTCGGTCGCTCGTTAGTCGTGCAGGTGGGTCGTTAACGTACTGCTACACGAGTACATATCTGAGTACCATGTATCATAGACGAGTCGCGAAATGAAGGAACGCGTATCGATGTCTGGCGGTATCTCGATATTCATGTGGCGGAAAGAGCAGTTTCGGCTCGTAAATCTCTGCTCGAGGAACCGAATACTCCTAGCGGTATGAAATGAAACGGAGAAAAAATCTATTTTCTAAATTTCATCATTATTGTTTGACCCTCCGAGGAGTAGTTAGATTAGAGTAAGACGGAGTTTCGATCTGGACTCGTCGCGTTCTCGTTTTTTCGTTCTTTTCTCGAACGAAAGGCGAGGAGAGCGAATCGAGGCGATTCGCCGTAATTGCGGTCGTTAGGTAGCTACGGGAACGTAGGTAGATACACGCGAACGTTCGCGCGAACTGATCTCGACGGAAATCGAGGAACGCGAACCACGGAGAGAGGAACTTCCCGATTTTCCTCTCAATGCGAGGATCGAGGCGCGATCATCGAGATTCTCGCGTTCCACGTTTCTCCTAATTATCCTTTATTAGCGCGATCCCTTCCGTGAACAGTCGACTACCCGAACGCGAACCGTTGAACTCTACGACTTAGGAGGCCGTGGAAACGCGTCGTTAATTAAACACGCGACGCGCGCAAATCATTTCGCGTGACTCCGGGAGACCTGTTAAAGTACTGCCACCGCGCTGAGAACGAAGACCGTATTTAGGAATCGGGAACCCTGACCTCAACCGAGCAGAAATCTGGTAGCGCTTCGCGCTCCTCGATCTGACGTGAGTCGCGAGCGTCTCTTCGGGTGGCGATGCGGCGGCATGCAAATTACCTTTTTCCTCTTCGCCGCCGCGTTGCTAGCCCCATGGAGTATTCTTCAGGCAACATTCATCGAGTACTTATATATATCTCTCTCTCTTCTTTGTCGGCGCATCCGAACCGAGTTCCGACCTCGAATCTCGAACCTCGGACACGACGCGCGATACCCTTCCAATTAAAACGCTTCTGAATCGCAGGAAGTTTCTCGTTCCGTTCGGGTCAAAGTGTCCGTCGCGTCGAATCTCGATAGATAAGATCGGCTCGTATATCTAGGCATTCATCTGTCGCGCGCGACTCGCCGTGCCTTTAATTTCGAACATTGGTTCTCTGTCCCTTGGTCTTACGAGCCACGGAGCCTGTAATAAAGTATCTATTTATCCGTCCGTCCGTGGCTCGCGGTCGGTGCGCGAGACCTCGACGGTGTTCTTACGCGTGTAGGTAGTAGTGGGTACACGGGTGAAAGCGTGTGCGGTTCCCTACGCGGCGTGGGTCGCGCGAAGTCGTTCCGCGACGATGATCGGACATCGGGACGAAACGGTGGTTCGGACCTCTCTCCCTTTCGCGCACTGTTTCCGATTCTCGCGTTAATGTCGATCCTTCCGGTCCGATCGTCGTTACGCGTGCAAATAGATTTGCGAGAAGAATCGTCGGAAGCGCTATTGATCGCGCCGCGAAGGAAACGCTCGCGCGTATTTCGCATTAAGAGCGTTGCGAGAGTTCGCGCGCACCGTGTGGGTTCTCACGATTAATCGAATCGATGTAATGGCATCCGCTCGGATGGTTTCTCATCGTCGGAGCCTAGCAGCGGCTGGACGGAATCGAGAGAAGGGTAGATGACTACCTTTGTACGTAAATATACTTGGCTTTCGAATCAATCTCAACACAGCGTAGATACAGTTAATGAGTATCGACATTTGCTATACGTTTTTGCTATTTGTAGATGATTTAAAAATATTTCTCTTAATCATCTGTTCTGCCGATTATTATCGTATTTAACACGATTTATAGGCACTTCTACCTCTTCACCAATATTTTGGAAACTGTGTGCAATATTCGGGACCTTAGAGTTATATTTTCAACTGATTTTAGTTTTAAGAATCATTATAATTTTATTACTTCTTTTTCTATGGGGCTTTATTTGTAGAACCGCTACATTTTTTCATAATTCCAATAGTTTAATACTATTTTATTACTCTCTCGTTGGATCAGCTTTATAGTCTGACTTCCATATTATAATACTTAATGGCCATCGAGAAGGTTCAATATAAATTCTTATGGCTCTTTGTGTATCGTAAGGATATCATCACTCTCAGGACCTATCACAACTATGATTCTACTCTCGCCGGATCTAAATTAAACACGCTAGAATTCAGAAGGAAAGCCATGGATATATCAATGGTCTCATACCTTGCCCTCAGTTTATTGCTAAATTCAGAATTAACGTTTCAGATAAAATCTTGAGAAAATATGAATTATTTTATGTTGATTGAAGTTCTTATAAGTCGAACTGCATTTCGCATTTCGAATTAAGCACTGATCTGATCTGTTCGGGTAATCTGATCCAAGGAGTTAAGTACTTACATGTACTCGCGTATGGATCGCGGTTGCCGAGAATGCCGTGAATAATCGCAGATTAAAGAAAGAAGAAACGTTCTGTCCGCGGAAGCGGGTTCGATTCGTTCCATTCGATGTGGTTTAATGCGATCGCTGCATTTTTCTAACACCCGCGAATTCCTCCTCGTCCTTAGCGAATCGCGAGCGAACGCTTCTCGGATCGTGCCGACTTCTCTCTTATCGTTGAGGTGGCGGAATGCCACGTTGAATTAGAAATCAGCGTCATCGACCGATTTCGACTAGGTCCTCGCGCGTACCGTTAACTCGACAAAGACGCGAAAACCAAAATCATTGAGAGTGACACCTAGAGTACAACGGGAATCTCCCGGTGAGAGACGCGAGATGGGAGAGGAAGTCGATAGGAGGAGAAAGGTCGATTCCTTCTTACCTGTTACACTGTTACATGCTTAATTCGCGTTACGTTGTCCCGCTATATTCAGCTCCTACCCGTCGCCTGAACTCCAATTAGCCTTTATCACGTTACTGTAATCCTTGTTCCCAATCCATCTGTGTCACTGCACATTGCGAAGAAGTATGGATGGAACAGCGAATGATGGATACCCGGCGAACGAACAATCGAACTCGTGCGAGAATTCTCTAATCGCGTTCGGAAACGCAACGAGACACGTAGTCTGCCTCTCTTTCTTCGACCTTCGTCGGTGAAATAGTGACGAGGATAAGGATAGCTCAGGGAATAACAGAGATTATCTTAGCTGGAGAGGAGAAACGACTTCGGAAGATGTTCCTTTCGATCGGTTCTTCCGTGGTAATACCAAAGCCTCCTCCCACACCATCTTGTCTATTCTCTCTCTCTCCTCTTTCTCTCGCTCTCGTAATCGCTATATTTTAGTCGAACGAGCGAGGCACCGTGGCGCGACTCCGCGCGGCGGCAGCCAATCGCGAATCGGGCACCAACCACCGCCGCCGCCGGCTTTAGCTTTGGCTTCGACTACGCTCTTTCAAGGGGTTCAGGGTCGGTCAAGGACTCGTCGCTAGTCGCGAGCAACCACGATCCGAGGGGAGTTCGCGTCTAAACTCTGACCGCCTCTACTCCGGCGAACTCCTTCGCCGAGCGCTAATTACGGTTATTACTCGTTAGCTGGTAATTTACCGAGCTATCTCCAAGGTCGTCGCTCGGTCGACCCGAGCCATACGGCTTTGGTTAGAGCCGCAAAATTTTCAATCGCTGGTTCCGGGTTCTTCCCCACGCGACTTCGTTCGACGATCTTCGATCGTTGAAATCGTCTTTCAACCCCGTTAACTTTGAAAATTAACTTTCAACTTTACTTTGAACGCGAACTCACGCTCGGAAAATCGTTCCCGTTCATGGTAATGGTACCATTTTCCATGACTCGTACAAATGCGTAATAACGCGCTTGGAAGGGCTCTGCTCTACTCTCCGTTCTTGTTTCTCTTTCCTTTTTCCGTGTTTTCTTCTTATTCGCCACCTCGATTCCGGTCGATTCATTGGCAATTTCTCGCCCAGGTTACGCCTCAGTCGATAGGAGGAGAAAGGTCGATTCCTTCTTACCT